CCTCTGCCTGCTGATTTTGTACCACGCCGCCACCACTGTTACCGACCCGGCCTGCCTGACGCTGCTCTTGTGACCTCCTAACATCAGACTCTCACCTGCTATACACCTCCAACGGTGCTTCTACCACAGCTGGGTGAACTCAGGGGCCGCAACATGGTTTCGGCCTGCTCCAAGTCCATCCCCACCATCAGGGGCCCTGGTGAACAAACAGGTAGGGACTTAGATTCCGCGCCTTGGGGGAATCCGGTCTGTGGAGTGCTAGAGGCTACCGCTGTAGGATCCCTGACACTCGCCAACCCCTCTTGTGGATTGGCAGAATCAACGCAGTAAAGATGACTATTCATCCAAAGCTTTTATACTTATTCTGCATCCTCCCCATCCCCATTCCTTCTTATGCCCTAAAGTAATTTCAAAATTATGTTCTAAAATCTATCTGGACTAACAAGCAACCTTGAATTACCAAACACACCATGCTCATACATAGGAAACAAGGGGGTTTAGGAGTTCCCAACTGTTCCAAGTACTATGTGGCAGCTCAAATTGCATCTTTGACCTCTCTATACACTGCACAACAAGCACCTACATGGGTCACCTTGGAAGCACTCTCCTGTCTTCCGGTTTCCCCCCACTCACTTTTATGGCTTCCTCCAAGATCTAGGGCCTCAACCATCAGCCCCCTAATGGCTCATTCGCTGTGATTATGGGACTCCACCAAATATTCCAGTGGTCTAATCTCCCCTCATCCACCACTTCTCCCTCTCTTGGGCAACCCCCTGTTTCCTCCTGGCCTTGAGTCTCCTAGAGCCTTCCTGTCAGGGACCATTGCGACGCATGGGTCTGCACATGCGTAGGTGTCTGTCAAAACATGCAGGCAGCAGGGCACTAGGACCCAGGCGCACCCGTCACCTATGACGGCGCTGGGCAGGAACTAGGACCTAGGCTGCGCCTGTCAGGCGCAGGGCGGGCTACTTAAACCAGCCCTGCACAGACACAAGTTGCCGTATAGTCAGATCTTGTTCCTGTGATCTGTGAGTTGATTCCTGACTGTTGCTGACCATTGCTTGAACCTGACCTTGCTGATATTCTCCTGCCCTGACCCTGTGGCTCGTTTGACTACTCTTCTGGATATCCCTTCTGATCTGAACTTCTGTTACCAGACCCGGCGAGTGACCTGATTCCTCTGTGCCTGCTGTCTTGTACCACGCTGTCCGCCCGTTACCGACCCATCTGACCACGCTATTGCTCAGCCATCCATCCGACCCACACGGATTAGCTGCTATTCTCCAGACCTGTCTGCCTCTTCACACCAGGCTCTCCACCTGTCATTACCTCTGGTGATTCTTCTACCTCAGGTGGGTGTACTCAGGGGCCGCGACCTGGTCACTGTCTGCTCCCAGCCCATCCTCACCATCAGGGGCTCTGGTGAACAAGCGGACTGGGGCTTAGACTCCGCGCCCTGGGGAATCCTGTCCTGTGGACTGCTAGAGTACACCAGGTGGTCCATAACACTTCCACTGGTGGGTTTCCCACAAACTTCATTGTGTCCACTCATTCCTCACTGGCCGTTCTATCTACATCTGGGCAGAAATAAGAGACAAATACCAAGCTCCTCACACTGAACTCTTCCGATTTTTACAAATCAAACAGGGGATGACATCAGTGCTCATTGACAAGGATCAGACGACCCAACTGTCCTTGTTCGAACACATTTGTCAACGAACGCCCTTCTCCCCCAAACTTATATCTATCCTTTTACTCACAGTTGAATAACCTTAAAAATCCCAACAATCACACTTACGTTTCCATATGGCAAAAAGACCTTAAAAGCACCTAAGACATGGGTTGCTGGTCACAAAAATGGACAACCTTAACTTTCTGTTCCATCAACATTCTATCACATCAGCTTTTAAAACTTTTACAAGGTGGTACCGGTCCCGTCCCATCTGGAGCACCTTTTTCCATCTGCCCCCGACACCTGTTTCTGAAGATGCGCTAATGCAGGAGACATCCTACATATATGGTGGACATGCTCTATGCTCTCTCAGTTCTGGACAAAGGTCATTAAACGCCTACATTCATTATTAACCTGTCCCTTCCCATGGGACCCGTGGCATGTCCTTCTACACCTGAAACCCCCGGGCCTCACTAAACACCAATTTAAGCTGGCCATATATGTACTATTGGCGGCAAAAAAAACCATAGCGAAAGCTTGGAAACAACAGGTCATACCTTTTACAGAAGTACACCACCGCCTAGACTTCTTCCTCCTTAATGAAAATCTCTCCAGCATTCTTTCCGATACTCATGAGAGATTTCTTAAAACATGGACTCCTTGGATCCAACATGCCCATCTTTCTATACCAATAAGCAGTTTTACATTGCTATAATTACAGAGGCTCCATAGCCCGTGCTTGAGCGCTTTTGACGTCCGTCTTTTGCTTAATGCTCGCTTTTTTTTCTCTTTCTTTTGTTTTTTCCGGCTCTCCTGCAGGGACAATTTGCGGTTTGTTTCATGTATTTCTTGGTTTTATTATATACTTTATGTATTTCATATATTAATTCCTCTTACGAATGTCTAATATCAGGCAATCAACGTGTGGATCCTCATTAGTTTCACTCGTTGATCAATCGACAAAATATGTACTTTTTGACATACCATGTACTTTGTCAGTAGTTTCAGTTTTGTTCTTCTGTGCATGACCGCTTTTAACCGCTTCTCGGCCACCCTATAGCATACTGCTACAGGGTGGCACGGGTGCACAAAATCACATATATATACGTGATTTTGCACTTCCAGGTAGGGGGCGCACGCGCGCCCCTACCCACCCGCCGTTCGCGGCTGTCAACTACCTGGTCCCGCCCGGTGATTACTTGTCGGCGCCCAGTGAGTGCCGAGCATCTGCGACAGGGAGGAGAAGTGTATGTAAAAAATACAGTTCTACTCCCTATAAGCTCGTGCACACTGCTTTGGATAGCTGTGCACAGCACAGCCATGCAAAGAAGTGTGATTACAGTGAAGCACAGATGTTGCATGACCACACAATTTTAAGTTAAAGTAACGCAGCACCGTAACACAAAAAATGGCCTGGTCAGGAAGGGGGGTAAATCCTCAGGAGGGCAAGTGGTTAATATGTTGGCTTTTGATATTGTAGGCTGTACACATGATAGTGGTTGCAATTGTTTCTTCTAAAATCCAAAATGTTTTCAATAAAAATTTATGGAAAGTGAAAAGCTAATTCAATGGCTGTACAGTGGGGGTATGTCAGCATACGCCTGATCAATGGATTAGCTCCCAGGACAGGCAAAAAACTGACCATGCTGTGCTCTCATGCCTAGTGTGGTAAGTTTTTCATAGAAAAGCAGAGGATCTGACAGGAACAGCAGGGCTTTCACACAAAGAAAGTAATGCAAAGAGAACAGGATACTTTTTCATACAAGTACATGGTACAGCAGGCACATATCAGGAATATCAAATATTGGGTTTATAAATTCTTTAAGGGATGAATAAAATATTTTCATTAAAGTAACTTCACAGAATCATATCCCATGTTTTCAGTGCATATTGTGTTTGTGGAGCCTTCTTGATGTCGATAACCATTTATGTTCCATGCGCACTAGCGGTTTTTTTTCAAGCTCAAGAAACGCTGGAAAAAAACACTGGATAACAAACGCTGGTAATAGCGTCTTTCAGTAACATTTAAGTAGCGTTTAGAGGCATTTTGGAGAGTTTGGGAGCATTAGCATTTTATTAGAGTTTTTACAGTACATGTAGAAAAATAGCTGGAAAAAAGCTGTTAGGGAGTGTTTTTGTAGGGTTTAGCAGCATTTAGAGTTTTTTTCTGCTGGAAAAACGCCCCAAAAACTCTACATCTACTCTGCTCCTAGATATTGAAGCTCAAAAAATGCTAATAGCCTAAAGTAGTGTGCATGGACACCTAGTTTAACACCATTTAGCTTCTAGGAGCTGAAAAAAATATGCTGATAATAGCTTCTAGGAGCTTAAAAAAAATGCTAGTGTGCATAGAGCCTTAAGCTGCTTTCACAATGATCCATTTTTCTTCCACTTATGCGTAAAAAAAAAAAAAAAAAAAGAAAAAAAACGTGTTTGATGATGACCATGTATTGCCATGGAATTCTCCACACTGCTCTGTTGCGGGTCCTGCTTGTTGCATTTTTGGTGCAAGTTTTGTGCAGTAAAAAAAAAAAAAAAACACCCTAAAAATGCATCTCTTCATTGAAATCAATAGAAAACGGCAAAAAAACACATCAAGAACACACAAATGCGATGCGGTTTTGAGTCACATGTCCTTTTAAAAATGCACCACAAACATGGTAAAGACGTAGTAAAAATGCAGCAAAAACGCATACTTGTTTTTGCTGCGGATCAGTGTTAAAGTAGCATTATAGAGGGAGTGTAATATAATGCATACATTCTACTTCTACTTTGAAATTCTACAGATTTTAGCAAAAACTGTGCTGCACTGCTGTCTTTAAATCAATCACATAAAATTGCTAATACAACATGAAAACAAAAATAAACAGACGTGCATAAATTTAAACTGTATTAATGTCCATGCAAAAATCCAAAAGTGTAATAAATCCAATCTCCAAGTTGCCTCCTTTTACAAATTGATATCACAAACCCACAGCTGGTATGCTCCTATCGGATACTGATGACATAATCCCAGTGCTGCAATAAATACTCTTCCCAATCTGTGCATACACTCATCCAGTAATAGTGGTTGTGCTATCACTGGATGGGTGTATGCACTTATTGGGAATAATGCACAAAGCTAGGTAGCACTGGCAGTGAAAAGTAATGCTGATGATTATACATCTCTATGGAGTTTTGAAAGTCCTTCAGGTTATCTTATGTCCTTCCCAATGCTTACGTTAAAGAGGATAGTAAATACAAAATTATAGGTGACACTGCTTTAAGAATGAAGTTTAGTCCCAGCAACAATGATATTAACAATCATTTACTATACATGTAACATCACCTTTCAGCAGGTCCTGAGTTTCTTTGCTGTACTGAGCTGGTTTTGGACTGTTCCAGAAACCAGCACCGAATGGAACTTGAACATTCCCACCCTGCCTTGACATAGTGAAGCTGTGAAAAGCAGAACACAGGAAATATATTAGTTCTTTAATCTTCAAACGACATGTTGCAGCCTGTTTGCTAACAGTGAACCTGTACTTTTTCTATACTAATATACTGCTATTATTCGGCAATAGTTGAAATAGTAATAGTTGAGTTGCATAGCAGCACTATAAAGTGCATGAACCTACCTTACACACTCATTCAGTATCAGACCCATACAAAAGCCCTGGGTCACCCAGAGTAACAGAGCTCCACCATATTTTGAAGTACTGGTGTTTTTCAGAGCTAGTCGTGGGGAATTGTGAGAAAGGAAAGACGGAAAGACAAGCAACAAAGAAAATAAGAAATAAAAAGTGTAATTTTTTTAAATTATATATATATATATAAAAATAAAACATCACAAAAGAAGAGAAAAATATATTAAGAACATCTGAGACGTTACCACTCATCACATCAACACTGCCACTAAGTCCCCATGTGCACTGGGCGTTTTAATAACACTGGTAACGTTAGCTGTGTAAAGTCACGTTAAAAAACATGAGTTTTTCAGCATTTTTGCATTAATGTTTTGCTGCTTTTTTTTGCAGTTTTAGTGTTTTTTTTACAAAAAAAAGTCCACAAACGCCACTTTGCTGCGTTTTACCGTGTTTTTCAGCGTTAGAGTGTTTTTACAGCTAAAAAACTCCTCTAGAAACCCACTGGTTCTGGGTTTTGTTCCAGCCAAAAAACGCTGACTACAGTCTATGTGTACATGGACACATAGGATAACATGCTGGGGAGTTTACTGGCTGTAGAAAAAAACCCGCCAAAAACAACTGTAAATTTTCCAGTGTGCATGAGGACTAAATCTGAAGTCAGAGACTGAAGACCTGTAACTGAACATACTAACTTATGGTCCTGTAAAACACATACAAGAAACCTTCTGGAAGGTCAGGGCTTACCCCTTTTCCCCTCATCATTTGTAGATATTGATGGTGTATGGGGAAAAAAATGTTCATTGTATTATAGAGTGGCTGTAAATCACTGAGCATTGAACACGTGTAGCTTTATTTTTCATTAAACTCAAGAACACAAATGTAAAATATTCCAGCTTACCAGTCTTTAGATATTATGTGGCTGTGTTAGTTTTCATTTTTTTCCCCTTTATTTATATCTGGTTATCCTGCCAGTAACACACTTCCTACTCTAGGGTTACAATGCTCACTCACCACACTGTATTTATTGAGAAATAGTGTTGTCATCCTAGAACAGGACTACACTGACCTTTTCCCCTCTCTCTTCTTCATACCAAAGAGAGGAGGGACTCTGTAGTTTTCAGAGATGCCCATGAATAATGTAACTAATAAGAGAGTAGCACAGACAGAGAAAGTTATCAACTGACAATGAAGGATATACAGGTATTTTTGTGCTTAATAAACAGATATAACAAAAACACGTTTAATGATATATTTAGCAGATAAAAAGGGAATAAAAAATAACAGTTCAGGAAAAGAGATTTAATCTCCAAATATGGAAAGGTTTCTTCACAGTATGAGTTGGTTCTGGCCAGCTCAGTAGAATGTTTTAAGAAAGGCCGGGATTCTTTCCTAGATACACAAAATATAACTGGATACTAATATTTATAGGTAAAGTTGATCCAGGGAATATCCGATTGCCTCTCGGGGGATCAGGAAGAAATGTTTTCCCCTACAGGAGCAAATTGGATCATGCTTTATTGGGGTTATTTGCCTTCCTCTGGATCACCTGTGGGTATTGGATAGTGTTTCTAGAGGTTTTCTGTTTGTGTGTGTTTTTTTATATGTTGGTTGAACTGGATTAACTATGTAACTATGCACTGTAAATTCACTGTTAGAATTTACAAACCGTTTCATCTTTTTCCCATAAAGTAAAAAAGAGGTTTATACTTACCTGCCTTGTGCAAGAATATATGATCCATTTTCTCCATCTTCTAGGGTCCCCCCTCCGGTGCTCCACACACTCCTCATTTTCTGTGTGTTTCTACCATAGCAAGCCACTTGCTATGTTGGCACAAGCAGGGGCGCACTCCCAAGTTGGGCTGTGTGCATTCACAGACACACACAGTATGGCTCGGCCCTGCTCCTGCTCCCTCCTTACACGATTTGACAGACAGCAGCAGGAGCCAATGACTCCCGCTGCTCTCAATCTTGTCCTGTGAGTGGAGAAACAGAGACCAACGCTGCTGCAAACAGGCAAAAAGGGGGGGGGGGGGGGGGGAGAGGAAGAAACAGCAAGTGGAAGGATTTTTTTTACCTTAATACAGGTAATGCATTAAAGTAAAAAAATGTTTGACTTTAGAACCATTTGAACTCCATACAAAATAAAAAAAACACTAGTTAATGCAGTTATGTATTCATAAAAAATACATTACGTTGGAACTAAAGTCACACAAGAACTGTCAGTTTTGTAAAGCAGGACTGCATTATTTTTTGAATGTACATTAAAAATAAAATTGCCTTCATTCATATCTCTCCCTGCTCCATGCTTATCCTCTATACTCTGGATGATGTTTCTGGGGATGTGTGCGCCCTCTACTGTTTCTGCAATGACTTCAGTAGAGCAAATCAAGCTACTTTGTATTGACATGGCTGCCTCTGGAAGGCATAAAAGAGTGTCAATGTCATAGGAAAATGCCTTACTGATAAGATCACCAGCTAAAAATATAGCAAGCATATAAAAACAATTAAACTTTACAGAAGCATATGCAGCAATATATTTGGATTTATGTACAAAGGCCAACCTTTTTATAAATAAATGCTCTCATATTTCCAGGAAAAAAATGTGCAGCTACTGGTTCAAATCGGGGCACAGATCTTTGGTTGCAGGGCTGCAGGAAGTGTTCATAGACTATAATTGCAGTGATCACTGCACTTGTGTTCCTTTGATAAATACGAGTCCCTCTACCATGGTAGCAGACTGGGCTTGTAGCTTATTCGTTCATTTATCTCTGTGAATATGACAGGCCTGTGCTGGCAAAACCACACACAGACACACAAAATGTAAAAAGTGACAGGAGTCACAGGAGAGAAAAACCCAGACTCAGTTCACAGACTTGGAGGAAATACTTGGAGCAAATCAGGTGTGCTGCAGTGCATTGAGGCTAGAAAGGAATATGTTGGCTGAGGTCTAGAGTAGAGGGATGAGCTTATGTATCTGTTGCTGTTCATACACTGTCCAATAAGAGGCTTAAGGTAGGGAGGTGATCTGGCTGTAACTTCTATCATTTCAGAAGAAAAAAGTGAGGCCACCAACTTGGCAGTGCTCTCTGAATAAACAGTCCATGGTGACATCTGCAGTATTTGGAGACGTTACTGAAAACAATAGCACGGGTTTAACATGTATCAGCTGATTTTCATGTTTATTGACTGCACACACAGCAAGTCAAGGCTGAGGTACCATGGGGCAGCAGCAGATTGAAGGTGGCTATCGTCCTTAATGTCACCAGTATCTTCTTCTTATGGCTGTGCTCACTGAGTAGGCTGTTTAATTCGCAGCACTGGATTGAAAGATATACAAAACCTGTGGCAGCAGAAACAGCTGTCCAAGTTGAAGTACTTAGCAATAACTTGAAGCTAAGCTTTAAAAGGTACTTGGTACCTATGGATCTCCAATACTACCTTATTATTTAGAAAAAAAAAAAGCTTTGTGTGTACAATAGATCGGTTCAAAATACCATTAGTGACCGAAGAATGGGGACACGAGGACGTGTCTACACATGTTCTGCCTCTGTCATCAGCATGTAGGGTTGCCAACATTCTCTAGCAAGCAATCTGTGCATGATTTCTGCATACATACAATAACCAGTGTTTTCAGTTCGACCAGTGGTTTCAGTTCTTGGGGAATACTTTATGTAGCCTATTTAGTTAGCAGTCCAAGGTACAAAGTGCTAACTTGTAGCAAAAAAATTTAGAATCCTCATGTTCTGGACCAACCTCAGTGAAATAAATGCTGGTAGGTTTCTATGGGTTCATACACTAAATTAGTATTTCTTTTGAATAAAATTGATGAATATGTGGAAACCCTATGATGTAGTATGTAAGGAGTTTGGAGGTAAGCTTTGTGCGCCTATAAATATATAAGTTCAGTAGTTTCATTCAGCAGCCCAGGTGGCAGTCACAGTAGTCAACTTTCTCTACTTGTCCAGTCTGTTGGACAGGTAAAGCTTGGGAGGTTCCAAAATGCCACACAATATTTGGTGGGCAGTGATATCTTCTCCTGTCCCACACAGTTCCAATTAGGGAAGTGGCCAACATCACTTAGCAGATCTTTCTTCTGCCAAGTACAACAGTGCCTCACCTTACTGCTCTCTCTCAGGCAACTATTGGGTATGCCGATGCTCATAATTATTTCAACCTTGGAGCTGACCACTAATGTACGGGGGCACGTTTCCACTGACCACCAATAAAAGGGGACCATTCTCCACCAGGGTAAGAGGACCCTTCCCTACTGACCACCAATGTAAGAAGTCCCTTCACTAATGGCCACCGAGGTAAGAGGTGCCTTTTCCACTGGATACCAAGGTAAGGGGGCCCTACTTCACAGACCAACAAGGTAAGAGATCCCTTCCCCACTGACCATCAATGTAAAAAGATCCTTCCTGACCACTAATGTAAAGCAAGAATGGAGGAAATACACCTAATTTTACTACACCATCATCCCCTAGTATTCATGAAACATGTCAAGAGCTATATGTGGAAGAACTTTTAAGGCTCATACACAGATAAACTAGTATCCATACAATGAAAAAATCATCAAAGTTTATTGTACAAAATCCTATAAAAACAGAATAAAGCGCTTTAGGGCTGGCAAAAATTGCTCAATCCTCATAGAATTGTACATACAGTTGCAAGAAAAAGTATGTGAACCCCTTGGGATTACGTGGAGTTTTGCATGAATTGGGCATAAAAATGTGCTCTGAACGTCATCTAAGTCACAACAATAGAAGAACACAGTCTGCTGAACATAATACTACACAAACATTAGA